CCCCCCCCACCCGGACAGTTCTGTGTATTTACAGGTTAAAGCAGCTTTCAGATGGTCGATGTTGCCGCCGTCTTTTATTCCGTGTGATTATTCTCTTTCTTTTTTTTTCTTTCTGTGAACACAATCTGGTTGTATCTTTTCTCCAGTTGGGAGTTTCCAAACTTTAAAAACCCACCTACAGTTTCTGAAAAAAACACACCTTACAGAAAGCCACGAGGCGAAACGCGGCGTCATTAGCACCTAAATAAAACCAAACAGAGGCAGTTCCATGAGCCTCTTCCCCCATTGGTCAGATGATATTAGCTCACTGTGACCTCACGATGACATCAGAGCTGGGAGTTTTGAATCCGGTTCAGTGGAGAGCTTCACAGTTTTCTGGTTTTCACGTTTTCATAGCCTGTTTAGGCTAGGGGGGGCGAGCTGGGGTCTGTTTCACAGGCGGATGGGAAATGTTTTGGGGGGGAGGGGGGGGCATCTCTCCTCTCTGTCAAACATCCTCCGTCTGCCCTGTTTTCTCACATCCGTTACAGAACACTACTGAGAGAAATAGCCTTATTTAGTTAACTGTTTACTTAAAGTGGACCCCCCCCCCCGACAGGAACAGGCCGATGGAGGCGGAGGGCCCAGCTCTGCCACCGAATGTTTCTGAGTCTACACAAACCTGTTTTCTATAGATTTTTCTTTAAATTATATTGCAAGTGTTAATTAAAACAATCTTGCCTCAACGGGTGGTCGGTGTAATTATTGTTTTGGTCAGTCAGCTGTGTTTTAGGGTCTTCTCCCTCTAAACCGGGCGGGTGGAAGCAGAGGAGACGCTTCAGTTAACCCCATAATGCCGAATGTGTCATATTTGATCCATACGGTTTCTGAAGTCTTTTGGATGTGAGACTTTCTGCATCATTCAGTGGTAAAAGCTTTGCTCAAACCCCTGTTGTACACATTCAGATATACCTGATAACAGCCAGTAGAAGACTACACAAAAATATATATTTTTTAAATTGCTCGCTAATTTGATCAAAATACTTTCTGTTTTTTTTCTTCATATGTTGTTGAGGGGCCAAAGAAAGACTTCAGACTAAAAAAATCCAATATTCTTCCTATTTTTCTTGGATCAGGCTTTGAAGGGTTAACCTTAAATAAACCATTTTAGAGCACAAACCAGGCTGGAATCAGACAGATACAACCTATAGCTGATGCGTAAAAGGAGGTATTGCCCCTTTTCCAGAGAGATAAATAGTGGGATCCTTAGTAAGGGACACTTTGTTCCACCGGGCTGCTGCGTTGTTAGATTTGTTTCACAAATGAAGCTGCAACAAGTAGAGGTTTTCGCTTCTGACCAGTAGAGGTTTTCGCTTCTGACCAGTAGAGGTTTTCTCTTCTGGACGTGGGCAGTGGCGGGTTGTTTTCCCCGGCCTGAGCACGGATCTTTGCCACTTTTCATGCTCCGCTGGCTCCAGTCTCGTCCTCCCCTCTTTGCTCCCTGTGCCCCGGCGCAGCGGCCTGTCGGTTGCGGTCCATCACCGGGCCCGGATCTCCCGGTCGGGGGCCGCGCTAACGAGCCTCGTTTCGGGGGGATTTGGCCCGGAGCAAAAAAAAAAAAAAAAGTGTCCCTCGATGCTTTCACAGCTTAAAACACTGGGCACCTTTCTGATTCTAGTCTCAGACCAGATCTAACAGAATACAAACTTTTTAAAATTGTATTTATTTATTTTAAATAATGTTTTTATTCATGTGACAAGGTCAAGTACAAACAATGAAAATAATGAAAATAAGGATTTTCTTTTTCATTTTTACAAAAACAACTACCCCTCATTCCCTCCCTTCCCCAGCCCTCCCCAATCCTACAAGATTATGCTACAGATCAGTAATAACCCACATCCTTCCTTAATACCGTACAAGAACATGTCAATA